GGGTTGGAATGTCTGTATGATTCGACCGCCTCTGATGTCATATAACATGCAATTCGAGTCTTCGTGTCCGGAGACCAGCAGTTTGCCCGACGGGTCCACACATACGGCCGCCACAGCGCTTCCTATATATGAGCAAAATTTTAACAATTAGTACTGCAATCAAAAACAACAACATTGACAACAAATGTATTACCCGGTCCTTTGCCTGAGGCGGACGGCGCTGTAATCAGATTAACGCAACCACGAGTTCTCAGATCCCAGAAGCGAATAGTCCTGTCCTGAGAGCCGCTCACAAACATAGCGCCGCCCCACGTGTGCAGCGAAAGGATATTGCCTACAAATACAGCACTTCATTAATAACTGGCCTAACTTTCAAAGCGACCGAATCGAACCCGAATGGCCGGACAGGGCCTGGAATGGTGTCATAGTATCGCAATCCGTGACATATATTTTGCAATCGCCGGCACCGCCAGAGATGAGAAGACTGGACCTATTGGACAGGTCCTCCATGAAGCACATGTCGCGCACAGTGCCATCATGCATTGTCAACTCGGCCTCTCCGCCCTCCAACTCGTTGGTCATACCATTAAATCTCATCATTTTTATAGTCTTATCATTAGAACCGGTGGCCAACAGATCTCCGGTCGTATTCCAGGCCAGGCTTTATATACAATACATATCCCTTAATATCAGTAAATATATTGAAATAAACGCAAATCACATACCAATAGATGCTTCCCTTGTGGTGCTTAACCCGTTTCGAGAGAACACTTGGCTGATGCGGCACATGATCTTCCCTATAACACCACAATTCAATTCATCATTAATTTATATAGCATTTTAAATGTAAATTAATTTGACGATTTTCTACATATAATCGTATGGTGTAAACAATATCCATATGTTTGTATTGTAATTAATTGAATGGTAAAAATACCTCAAACTCCTTAATTCGTGTGATTTAGGGTAACCGCAGATTCTCAATGTCTTAGAGTTGGATCCAATGGCATAGAGCTGTCCATTGGGATGGAATTCAGCGGCGCGTATGGCCTGTGCGTCCTCGAGTCGGGTAATCGGCACGAAGTGAGGCTTACGTCCGCCCAAATCAGCCGAACTGTCCGATAGAGCGC